AAAATACATTATCTTATAAAGTTATTATAGTTCAAAAAGGTATATCCAGTTAAGCTCCAATGCAAAGCCGTGATCCACATTTTCATCAGTTGTGTTTTTGACGTACCTGCCTCGCTCTCTATCTCTCTCCCTCTCTCTCACTTTCTCTCGTTCTCTCTCTCGTTCTTTCTCTCCCTCGCCCATCTCTTCTGTTAATGGTACGGTCCGAAACTCATAACGGCCTGAGGTCAAAGTAAAATCCGGAACTACCCGGAAATTTTATGCAACGAAACGTGCGTCTTTACCCGATTTCATCCTCGTGACCTCACCGTCACGAGTCCATCCGAACACTTCCGGTCTCAACGTTTTTTAGCAGAGATCAGATTTTGTTTTGTTTTCCGGTGCCGAAAATTCATGAAGTGAACGCGCGCACACCCTTTCGGTCTCTGGAGGGACTTGTCAGGGGGGTTTGACGGGTTTTGGGTAGGATATGCGGAGGCTGAGGCCCAGCTGAATGCCCTGGGGGGAGCTGGGAAGTGCCAACGATTCAGCTGGTTCTTGCTCTATCTAGTTAGCTTAAACAAGATATCCCACCTTTTAACGGAGTTAGAAACCGGGTACAGTAACTCACACGTTTTCTCCTAATCTTTCTGTATATCTCACTCTCTAGCCGTGTTCCTTGACATTTTTAGAGCTTTTTAGACCTTGGTATTCTTCTAGCTGCTGTAGTCACTCGCATTATCTTTCTTGCTCTCTCCCTCTCTCCCTCTCTCCCTCTCTCTTTCGCTCTCTCTCTCTCTCTCTCTCTCTCTCTCTCTCTCTCTCTCTCTCTCTCTCTCTCTCTCTCTCGCTCCCGCATTAGCTTTCCAAGTGCCATGAAACCGCTTTTCCTACCTTTTATTTTCGGCCTAAATCCGAGGCTCTTCTCGAATCCTCTCCCCCCCTCCAGCCTAAGAATCGAACCCACCGACCATCGAAGCCATATACCCTAGGGAATACACCAGCTTTTCCCCCAAACAACGCCATCACACCCCTTCTCTTGGTGCTCAAAACACAGCTGCCTCTATTTTTTGAGCCTTAAAAGCCCTCTCCTTCTTCTATCCCTCTGGAGTTAACTCCAACTTCACACCCGCCCCACCCGTTCTCCTGCCAAGATTCACCCCCGGGGGCTTCACATCCGTTCTCTCTCTCTCTCTCTCTCTCTCTCTCTCTCTCTCTCTTCCTCTCTCTCTTCCTGTAAAGGCAAAGGGTCAGAGACTATACGAACGCCTCCGGCTTTGACGAATGGGAGGAGCCGTTCGTTTTGAGTTGTCAGGGGAACTGGTTAAAGTTGCCATGCCCGGGGTGGATACTTCAGTTTTGACCACTAGGAAGCTCCAGATTTTTGTCCCGTCCTGGTTTCCAGATTGCTCCATCAGTTTTTAACAATTTGCTTAATACCTAACGTAAGAATGTCTCCTATATAAGCGCCGATACGCTTCAGGCAAGTTAAAAACTATACTCTGCCATACCCCCAGGGGGTATACCCCCCATGGGGGTACAAAAGGGGTACGAGGTGGGGTACAGCGGGGGTACGGGGTGAGGGTACAAAGGGGTACCCCACCCCCTACCCCCCACCCCCCCACCCCCCACCCCGCCCCCAGCAACTCAACAGACTTTTCCAGTTACCTCCCACACATACCACATATCGGTGGCTCGCAAAAATTCAGGAAGAAATGACGAAGTCCGCCGGAATTTCACCAAGGCAGTTAATAAAATACGAAACTTAAAGTAAACATTTTTTTTAATTTTTGTGCTTTTTTCCACTTAAAACATGTCTGAATTTTACTAAAAACATTATTGAAAATCTTACTATAACGTTACCAGGGGTTTCTGGGTTTATTTCAAAAAGATTGGTCCGCCGACAAACTTTCAATTTAAAAAAATGTTTAGTTCAAATTTGGTATTTTATTAACTGCCTTGATACAATTCCAGCTGACTTCGTCATTTCTTGTTGTATTTTTGCGATCCACCGACATGTGGTATATGTGGGAGGTCGCTAGAGAAAAATTTGTTGTGCTGCTGGGGGGGGTACCCCATTTGTACCCCCACCCCGTACCCCCTTTGTACCCCCACCTCGTACCCCTTTTGTACCCCCACCTCGTACCCCTTTTGTACCCCCAAGGGGTATACCCCCATAGCATGGCAGAGTATATTAAAAACCGTATCCCCAAGTGTCAAAAAAAGCAAGTTGTACGTGACAAGGTCATTCCGATCCGCTTCACGTTCCCGAATCATCCCCCGAAAAAGCAAAAGGAATTGCGTCGGCCGGGAATCGAACCCGGGTCGCCCGCGTGGCAGGCGAGCATTATACCACTGAACCACCGACGCATGTGGACGGGGCCCGCCGGGGCGCGCTAAGAGTGATGGGTGTGCACAGGATGCGCTGAAACGGTTAGGCAGCTTGGCGCTCACTAGCCCAACCACACAACCAGTTTTTGGAGTCAGTGTGAAGCATAAAACTTACAGTAAGTAAGGCTATCGAGTAGAGCTAGAGGTAGAATCTCAAGAGACCAACCTAACATTTCAAGCCTTGTGGTAGTTCCAACCTAACACTTTCACGACCTCCTATTTGTCCATTCTCCACCATTTTTCTTGATTGACAGGTTTTGGTAGCGTTTTTGGGTTCTCTATCTCTTCTAACGAATTTATAAAAATTGTCGGAAACGAATTGTCTGTTTTTCAGAAACAATGTCAGCACGAGCAGCGATGCGAGCCGTCTCTCCTGCCCTTGACGAAGTTGTCGACATGGTCGAACCCCTCGACACCATGCACAACAATCTTGCCCTGTCTTCGGCCACTTGTGGCATGGAGCACCAGGTACGTTATTCAAAAAAGCTCCATGTCAGCTTTCTCGGCGTATACTGATAGCGGGGTCCTTAACTTTTAACGGGGTCCTTAAAAAATATCGGGGTCCTTAGATTTTTACAGGGTCCTTAAATTTTGGCGGTAAAAAAGTTAAATAACGGCGTCCTTAAGATTCTAAAAATAGTTTCGAGGCTCTGGGGTGTTATTCCCTAAGATAGGCTATCGGTTTCCTGCTGGCCAAGTGGTTAGCAGGCTGTCTGGGAAGGCTTGTAGCTCGAGTTCGAACCCCGCTCTGGAACATAGATTTTGCTGATTTGCTCCCTTGCATCGTTATTGTTTTTAGTCCCCTACAAAGCGCCGCTGGCAACTTTTTTTTGAAGTATTGCGTATGAGGGTGCCAGTAGGATGTATCTTTAGTTTTACACTAATATGACTAATTTTGGGATATGGATTCTTTTGCAACCAGGATTACATGTAGCAAATACAAACCGATCGATTATCTTTACCATACGTTTGATAGCGCACTCCGATAGTTTCCTTTGATTCAAAATACTAAAAAGTTCCATACTTTTTCGCTTCTAAGTTCCCTACTTCGTTAAAACATCTTACAAAAACCACTCTTGTTATTTCGTCATACACACTATATTCAAGCATTCTGGCAAGGGCCATGGGCCCAGAGCCTCAAAACTATTTTTAAAATTTTGAAGGGGTCGTTATTTAACCGAGTCCTGAATTTTTTACCGCCAAAATTTAAGGACCCTGTAAAAATCTAAGGACCCCGATATTTTTTAAGGACCCCGTTAAAAGTTAAGGACCCCGCTATCAGTATAGAGCCGCTTTCTCTCCAGTTTGGATTGGTCAAAAATTAATACGAATTTCTACTTTTCTACTTTTTTCTTTTCCAAATTTCTAATCCTGGCGCCTCGAATAATCTCTGCCCTAAACTGGATAGCCCTAAAAAACAACACTTCTGGTTTTGGTGGTGTTTGGATACAGTTGGTTTTTTAGGTTAGTCCCAGGAGATGCTATATTACCCTCATACCGTAGCTTTTTATTTCAGATCCAAACCGCCAACCGACCGGTCGTCCTCTGCGTCGCTCCCAAGCAATCCCAAGACCCCCAGCTGTGCGGTGACTGCAAACGGTTGCAGAACGTCTCCATTAAACCGAAGAAATAAGATTTGACGAGGTGCCGCTAGCAGAAGCTTGACAACCGAAGCAGCCAGCTTCTCTCTCCCCTCTCCCTACCAATACTTTTCTCAGGGTCCCCCCGATCAATTCCAGAACCTATTTCCGGTGCTTATGGCAATGATGGTATTTTCGTGTTCTGTGCATTAATGGAAGCCAAAAAAATCAAAATTTGTAGTGTTTAGTTTTGCCGTATTTTGTAGTTTCTAGCTTGCAAAAAAAACGTAATTTAAGCCACTAATGGGAGGCTGCCATAATTCCTCAAGTCAACATTTTTTTGAGCAGCTCAGTTTTGTGAGGCCGTCCATTCAAGCGGCTACAAAACCTCCTAATAATGCGACTAATTTAGCAAAGCCACAAACTACCAAATTCGCACAAAACGCTACACCATAATGCCCCTTTAGCGCCAAAATTCTATTTATTTTTCTACCGATTTTTTTCCTCTACGATACCCCTTGCCCCCCCCCCACCCCGCCTTTTGTACATAAACGTATTTGTCATTTCTGATATTTTCTCGCTACGATCACTTTATTGATCTCAAAGTATTGCTGCGAATAAAAAGTGAAACTATAAAAATACCGCATGCAAGGTAGGCTTTCAAAATACACAATTAAAAATCGAGCTGCTCGTAAAGCATTGTGGTGGCAAAGTACGTTTGGTATATTTGGTTAGAATCAGACGGTCAGATCAAGCGTGAATTTTGGAAAATTCGAGGAGATTTCAAAGGGCTAATTGAGGCAATGTTCAACAGGATTTTTACATCACAAAACGAAAATCGGAATTGTTTTTTAAATTTGGAACCCGTATGAGGAGGTGATGAACCGAAATATAAGTGGAGCAATTCGGAATATGGGGGGTGAATGAGCGGGGAGGAGTGTAGCTACAGTGGGAGCAAGAGACAGGCGAAAAATCGAATTTGAAAAATGGCTAGCAGGTGAGAAGAAATTGCATTACTAAAAAATAAGAAATTTAAAGCTCGAGAAATTAGACATCCGACGAGATGGGCGGCAGCGGCTGAAAAAAAAAATGTTACTTCTTGTTTTTTACCATAGACGGGTGGATATTACGGTAGGAAACTAACAAAATTCAAAAAATTGCAGCTAGGGGCGAGCTAGCAGACATCCGTGAGAACTTGCTAGAAAACTTATTTCAAACTTATATTTTAAAACATTAAGACTGATGTTCATTTTCATAAACGAAAATAAGGCTTTTTTGAAGGGAGATAAAGTACATAATCTGACTTTTTATGTACTATAGATTTTTTTTTTCTTAAAGGGTCAGGCAAGGCCATGCTGTGGATTTTACGGCCGCAATTTATTTCAGCCGCAATCGATTACGCAATTTCATTGCGTAATCGATCAAAATTCTTTCCCAGTGGCCTCCCGTCCAAATACTCTTTTGTCTAGAGAGTTTTTCGAAATTGCAATGCGCTGAAATTTAGGTTTGCTAAATGTTTAAGATCAATAAAGGAATCCATAAGGGTCCACATGGTCAAAAATCCATAAAAATACCTTGCACGCCCCTTTAAACATCAAAAGATTTAACTAATAAAGAAAGCTACTGAAAAGTCGCACGACGACCCACCTTCATGGCCTTCTTCGTCAACGTGCCATTCCCATTCCCGTCACTATTGTTCAACTGTTCGTCCATCGACATCCGGCCCGTACTCGGCGGCGTCGGCGGCATCATTGGCGATTTTGGCGTACCAGATAGGCGAATTTTCGAGGCTGGAATTTTTCTTTTATCGTTTGTAACAAATGCCCATTTACTTAAGGTTTTTGGGTTAAACTAATAAGGGCCAATTTTTAACTGAGGATCTAGGGGAGCCGAAACTAATGTAGAAGAGAAATTATAATTTAAGCCATGTATTTACGAGGTTCCCGCCGGCGGATCGGCCAGCTTCTTGTACCACGTGACTCTTTTCTGGGATTCTGAAGGGGGATTTAGACGGAATTTTTGAGTTATAGGGACTGATTTTTGCAGAAAGTTAGACTTGACTTTTGTAAGGGTGAAAATTAAAATATACTTTTTCTGACTTACTATCGAGTGACGATTGGCTATTATGACGCTTCTGCGGTGAATTAATCGGGCTGTGATTTTTGACGTAGCGCTTCAGCTGCTCAACCTGGTCGGTCTTCATCACCCGATCGAACATTTCGGCGGGTTTCTCGGCTTGTCTAAAGGTATCAAAAAAAATCTGGGGCGATTGGAATTTTTTAAAAAATTAAGTTTTCGGGCATAGCTAATTTCAAACTAGTTATAATTTAAGCTATCCACGAAAATCCTGAAACTCACTTGATCACAACGCCGGAAAGTGAGCTAAAGCTTTTCCGCGGACCCGAATTGAAGTACTTCTGGAAGCCCTTCTTCAATGTGTTCGATCTGAAATTGGTGTTCATCTATTGAATTCGCTGCGAATTATCGAAACTCAAGAACTCTTGAAACTTATTAAGCTCTAACTACTACTTTCTCGGCTTTCCATATACCCGATTCGTCGAAAATAGCTGAACGTTGAACTGGAAAATTTTAAAAATGCTAAATGCATCACAAAAAAAATCGAAAAAAGATCTTTAAAGATTTTCATACCCCGCCGTAATTATCGACGACTGCGACGTGAATGAGCTGTTATTCGGGTCCTCGGCAAACATTTGGGCGCCAAGGCTTGTCGAGCTCGGCTTCTTTTCCTTCTCGCCCAAACCGGGGTTTGGTAGTGGTTCGACGGCACAATTGTAGATGGAGGCACCGGCTGGTAGACGGGATGTCTAAAACGACCAATCTTTTAGGCTTGATGTTTCTAACCATCTCGTTTATTTCCTTAGTTTTTTCACATGCTCATCTCATGTCATCTCATTCTCAATGCCTTGCTCCATTTTTGATTCATTGTTTTGTTATTCTCTCAATTAATCTTGATTCATTAATATCATCTCATTCTCCACTAGTATCCTGATTTTCCGGATTCATACACTTACAAAGTCACTTACCGTCTGTCCAAACTTCCGGTCGACATATCCCTTGTGCTCCCGGAATCCCTCAATCAGGAAATTGTGAATGTTCTTATCGGCTTCAGCACGAGTGCCGTGTGCGTAGATGCAGTACTCCACGATGGATACCTGAAAAGTATAATTAGTTAATGAATAGGTAAATTTATATCTGTAAGAGAGCTGAATGAATCAGCAAGGCGTACCTGTTCAACAATCAGCTCTCTCAATTCGTCGCAAAGCCTCCGCTCCTCATCGTCGATGATTGCCGCACAGGCATCACTGAAGAAAACCTAAAACGCGCCTTTGTTACCGTAACCTAGGAGCGACCAGTTTTTTTTCAGTTGTATTTTACCTCGTAATTCTTCACTCCACCCATCACTGAAGCTTGTACTACGCCTTGGACGTCTCCGGCAAAGTTTCGAATAGAGAACAGGGGATTGTGAAGGACTTTCTGGGCCGATTCGATCAGGCGCTCGTTCTTGTTTTTCATGCCCTTTAAAGTAGCTTTATTAGCGTTTTTTGCATTAGAAAATTAAAGTAACTAATTTCACGATTCACTTCTAATTTAATGTTTAAGAACCAAACCTGAACAGCCAGCGCTAGAGGTGAGATCTCTTCCGGAACCGGTTCAGCTTCGACATGCGAGAATCTGAGCGCTGACGGCAGCGGCTCCTCGACATGGACGACCCTCCTTGTCACCCATGTTCTCAGCATTTCATTATCTTCTAACTCGGTCCATTTCGTCTCCTTTTTTCCGTGGATCCGTATATATTCAAAGGATTGGATATTGTAGTTCCGGTAGTAATCCTTTATCGCCGGGTTGACGGCTTGGCCAATTGCCACGTCTCGAGGGATCGGGTCGACTTTGAAGATCTGAAAAAGTGTAGGTTAATCATTAGGAGCTTTTCCAATATCGGGGGTCTTGGCGAAAAAGTCGATTTTTTTTTGTTTTTAACACAACTTTTGAAGTTTTTAGATGAGCTAAAAACCTCGTAAAAACTTGATTTCGTTCTATCAGAAAAAAAACAGAGTCCTGAGGAAAAGATTAAGTTTTTTCTTGTCTGGTTCCGGTAGAAAATTCTTGATTTTAGATCATTTTCTAACCTGTAAATGCCTTCCATTCCCATTTTGCAAATGCGAACAATCGTCCATGGTCGTGTACGTCTCGGGATTGCCGTACATTTGCTTCATGCGCTGCAAGAAATCCGGATGTCGCTCGAGCTGGTCCGACCGGAACACGAATTTCTTCCCATTCAAAAATGGGGGATATCCATTTCCGTAGAAGGCGACGAGATAGAAGTAGAAAAAGGCTCGATTCTCTTTGCCGATCTTTTTGAAGAGATCGGCCTGGTGGATGAGGAGCTCGGCCATTTTGTCGTAGTCATAATCCATCGAGTAGTAAACTTCTTGGAGTTGGCGGAGCATTTCGATCGAGTTCTCCCACATGTCGCCTGGAAACGCGCATTTATTGGCGAAGATTTACAATAATCTGTCGATAATACGGTTTATAATTTTTAGAAAGTTTTTAAGGAGGTTAAAGCTATCCTAAATTAGACATTTGAAAATCCATGTTAAATAATTAAAAAAAATCTCGTAAGTTAATACCCACCTCTCGAAAACAAATCGGCAATATTCAACGACAAGTTTTCCTTCAACTGCCGCTCCGTAGCACAATGCCGATTCAGCGAGTTCTTCACCAAAAATCCAGGCACCTCCGCCTCGGTCCATTTCAGCTTCTCGGCGTGCATCAACAACGTATTAGCCGCCTCGATATCATTCCCATATTGGGAATGGAGCTCGTATAGCTTGTACACATATGCAATGTGCAGATCGGCCAGTCCGAGCGAGTTGTAGAACTTCATCAACTGCACCGTGCGGCTCATCTCGATTTCGATACAGTCGGAGGCGTCCTTGGCATCACGGTATTCGAAGAGATGGCCGAGAAGACGGCGGATACGGTCGATGAAGGCATCGACTTCTGTGCGCCAGATTCGGTCTTCTTCCGACAAGGCAGGCAAGTTTTCAGTGATTCTGAAAATTTAGCGTTTTAATGTCGTTAAAAGATGTTTTCCTTCTTTTATTTAAATTTCTTCCTAAAAATGAAACCAAAACTATTCACGATCCGCTGTTCTAAACGTTAAAATTTAATTACACACAATTAGTTAAATCTAGGTTTTCGCCATTCATAAAATACTAAAAGAACGTTCAAAATACACCGTCATTATAGTTAAAAACCCAGTTAATAACACTTGACTATAAATCAACTTTTTTGCTCATACATAAAAACACAGACATTCAAAGTAGGCCGCTATAGTCGTAACAACTGTAGTGCGAAAAACTGACATTTCTAAAACGCGTTTTTAATTTTTTAACCATTTATGGCCCTTAATTAAGTTAGAAATGAATGAATAACTCCTGTTTAAAGTTTTCGTAGCTGTATTATGAGTATTAATACATTTTTCAACTTTTCCGAAACCCACTTGCAATGGCTCATCATCGATTTCACCAAATCATTTCGGAAAGACCTTGTCCCGTGCCCTTTCATCACCAGTCGATCGAGCTGGGCCACGAATTCGTCGGAAAACTGTAATTTTTGTGGGTTTTTTGGGGCTTAATTTCATTTTTCTTACCTTCTTGATACCTTCACTTCCCTTCAACGCATGCTCACACTCCAACATATCCACGAAAATGACGATCATCGTTTCCCTGATCTCCTCATCGGGGATCAGGGCCACTTGCAGGAATGAGCCGATCAATCGGTGGGTGTATTTTTGGACTTTGTGCACCACTAAAAGGGTTGAAATTTGTTATATCGGTGTTTTGTACCATCAAAAAGTAGCTTTTAAAACTTTTTCTAGCCAAGAAACTTACTATTAATCGGGGTCCACATGCTTCTAATCTCATTTGTGGCTTGGCGCTGTAGATGGGCGGCTTGTTCATCTTCCCGGCTTGGCTCTCCGTTTCGATTGACCATGATTTGGTTGATGAAGCAGACGACCGTCAATAAGTAGCCTTGCGCAAGCTGAAATAGTTTTTCTGATTCCTAAATTAGCTTAATTTTAAGTTTAAAAACGAAACTATGATTTTAAAGTTGAAAGCTATAAGAAACTAAGTTAATCAACTATATATGACTTCAGAATTTTGTTTGAGTATCGAAAATTTGACTAGGAAACTGTGAACCAACGTGTAAAACTATGAAATAAAGCTCCTGGAGCTCCAACTTACATCGTAAAACTCGGTAGAAACACTTTCGCCGGGGAAGAAGCGGCTGATGGCGGAATGGATCAGCCGTAGCGCTTTGTGAACGACACTAAAACAAGCTTCAGATTCAGTTAATCGTTTTAAACTCACCGATTCTGCGCCAACGTCATCTGGGCCCATGTCTGTGGATACGGGCTTTTCCCCAGACAATCGCGCAGCATTTGCAGAAGCTCCAGAATAACGTCCATTCGATCCTGATTGAATCGCCGCGTCGCCAAAAAGTTTAAGAAAATTGTGTCCGAGATTCGGTTGAAAATGGCGAGAATCACGGCGAAGAGCAGGCCTCTGCCTTCCGAGATTTCGAGCTGAAAATTGGCGTTAAAGATTTGTTTTTAAACTAGATATAAAACTAGTTAACTAAGTAAAACTATTATTTTAAAATAATACTTACATCAGCTGCTCGATACTGCGAAATCAGATACAATGATCGAATCAGGGGCCGACTGCAGTATTCCAGAATTAGCGCCAGCTCGTCGGCGTACCCTTCTTGGAAGCCAGTAAGTGGCCATAGTCGATCAAGCATCGTTCCTAAAATATTTTTTAGATAAATTAAAATACAAATTTATATTTATTAATGAAGTATTAATATACGGCTTAAACCTTAGTTTACTACATAGTTTGCTTTTAATTAGAGAACCAAGTGATAGCTTTCTATCTTTATCTCCTTTTGCAACATACCCAAAATTCTGCCCGCCGCAATTGCCGACTTTGCCGTTTCTCTGCTCTCAATTTCCTCATGGTCCAGCCACGATAAAAGCTGAGCGATACACACCTTGAAGAGCTTCGAGCGCGAATTTGTGTCCTAAATTTTATGTCTCGATTTTTCTCTATTTTTCTTACCAAGAACAAATCGCTCTCCACGATTTTCCCGATAAATTGAAGCCGCTCTTGCTCGACAATTTTCGGCCCAAACGCGTTGATGATGTGCACGACGCGGTGGCTAAAAAAAGAGTTTTTTTTGGTGTATTGTTTGTAACTTACGTCAAGAGCGTAGAGTCAAAAACTTGGGCTAGATGTGGAATGGCTGAAGGGAGATGTCGAAGAGCCGTATTTTGCATCGGCATCCTTTCGCCTTCTTCTGACATCAAAAGCACGAAAGAACCGAGCATTGCGTCGACCATTTCGGAAAATCCGGGCATGGGGTCGCGCATTCTAAAGAAATCTGATTTATAAACGTTTGAACGACATATTTCCAACTTTCCATAAAAATCCATGAAAATTAAGCATAAAGCTATAAGAAAAGTTTAAAGGGGCAAAAATTGGCGGTTATCTAGCTAGCGAACCATAAAAATGCAGCTAAATTCTGCATTGGGTCGCGAATGCTAAACGTTCCTATTTAGAAACCTTTTACTGACTTTTATCCACTCTTAAGGCCTTGGAAGCTAAGCGCAAAGCTCTCAGAAACGATCGAAAAGGCAAAAATTGGCGATTTTGAGCGAAACGGCGCAAAAAAGTGCAAAACCTCAATTTTTAACCTGATCATCTTGGAATCAAGCTTTGACAGCCTGTTCATGCTAAATAACCCTATTTTCTGTATTAAACCAGATGGTTACAGTCGCTTCGCGACTGCAACCATCTGGCCTTCGGGCTACCCTACATGTCCCACTCCACCACATCCTTTCCCACCTCCATCAATACCCCCCATGGCTGAAATCCCCTTCAAAAACTACCTAAATACCTTCCCGATGGCTTCAGATACCCCCCCATGGCTGAAATCCCCTTCAAAAACTACCTAAATACCTTCCCGATGGCTTCAGATACCCCCCCATGGCTGAAATCCCCTTCAAAAACTACCTAAATACCTTCCCGATGGCTTTAGATGATTTAAATAATTAATTAACATAACTAAAAGTATTAAAAATATTAAAGTAACTTTACCTTCCCGATGGCTTCAGATACCCCCCATGGCTGAAATCCCCTTCAAAAACTA